ACAGAAAAGGATCCTGTAAAACTAAAGAAACAGGTGGAACAACAAATTATGAAGTACATGAAAACTCTGCCCAAAGAAAAGCTCACCTTAAATGATTTACAAGAAGCTGAAAATGGACTCATTCGCTACAGGCAGCACCAGTGGTATGATGATGAACTGCAGGCTCTACAAAGCAATCAGCATGTCAAAAAAAACAGCCAATTGTACAAACTTGACCCAGTCCTGCAGCAAGGCATTCTCAGAGTGGGAGGGCGACTAAAAAAAGCGGCAATGCCAGAGCACAGTAAGCACCCTACAATCCTCTCCAAACCCTCCAGAGTTGCCTCTCTCATCCTTCAGGACGTTCATGAAAAGATTGGACATTGTGGGCGCAACTATGTCCTCTCAAAGTCACGCCAAAAATATTGGATCCCACAAGTTACTTCAAAAATCAGGAAACTTCTGTCAAAGTGCACAATATGCAAAAAGTTATATAGCCAGCCTGGACAGCAGAAAATGGCCAGTCTGCCAGAAGACCGCCTGATTCCAGATCACCCACCATTCACAAATGTGGGTATGGACTACTTCGGACCTTTTGAAGTCAAACGGGGCCGTGTCAAAGTCAAAAGGTATGGGGTCTTATTCACCTGTCTAACTACAAGAGCTGTGCATATTGAGGTCGCAGACAGCCTGGACACTAGCTCCTGCATTAATGCTCTGCGCAGGTTCATCAGTAGAAGAGGACAAGTGGAAATCATACGTTCAGATAATGGCACAAATCTTGTTGCCGCCGACAGAGAACTAAAAGCTGCGCTAAAAGAGCTGAACCAGTCAGACATTGAAAGGAACATGCAACAAAAAGGTATAAAATGGATCTTCAACAGTCCAACAGCTTCTCATCAAGGAGGGATATGGGAGAGGCAGATACGCTCCGTCCGCAAAATAATCTCAGCCCTTATGAAAGAACAATCACTCACTGATGACAGTATGCATACACTCCTCTGTGAGGTAGAAAGTATTATCAATGGTCGGCCAATAACTACACTATCAGATAGTCCACACGATCTTGAGCCACTCACACCAAACCACTTACTTTTGATGAAAATGCAGCCTAATTTACCCCCTGGGGTTTTCAACAATAATGACCTGTACTCGAGACGAAGATGGAGGCAAGTACAATATCTCTCAAACCTCTTTTGGACCAGATGGACTCGTGAGTACATACCTCTCCTCCAGGAACGCCAGAAATGGTCTGCACAAAAAAGAAACTTTCAAGCAGGAGACGTGGTGCTTATAGTGGATAACACAACTCCAAGAAACACATGGACTATGGGAAGAATCATTCAAACTTTTCCTGATGCCATTGGACTGGTACGCAAAGTGATGCTGAAGACAAAGTCCAGTACTTTGGAGAGACCCGTGAACAAGCTCTGTCTGCTACAGGAAGCAGGTCAGAACCAAAGCAAAGACTAAAGACTTCTTATAGTATTATGTTTACAATGTTTTGAATGAATATAAAACAGCTCTCAGTTATGGGTTTTTTGATAAATGCTTAATCTTTACAGAATTAAACATTAGGGCCGGGAATGTGAGAGCCAAAGCAGTTAAAATGCAAAAAAGTGTTTAATTTAAAGCTAAAAATATAAAATAGTTTTTTGTCAATCAGATTATATGTTAAAAATGGTTAAAACCCTAGAAAGTTAAAGTTAAACGGTTACAATTCTTAAGTTAAAGAAAGATTCTAAAATGTTATAAGTTACTGTAAGTCTCATAATGATTAAAGACTGTAAAAAAGCTATTGCAAATATCTAAGTTTAAAAACAGGTAGAGCAGCTTTAAAATCAGAGACACTCCCATTATTTAGACTGCTCTGATGTCATCAGTTTGAGTTTTGAGTGCAGGTGTGGGAGAAGACAGATTTTCTACCTGCAAACTGTGGAGGACTGTAATGTTCATTTTCTATTATTTTTGTTCAATAAATGGACTTAAACGGATTACGTCTCCCTGGTCTCAGTGTCAGAAGAACTTTTGCACCTGGCTTACTGTGGCTGTCTTTAAATGAGCCACCACACTCTCTTACTGCCCTTTATAAAGTAACTTACTGCCCTTTATAAAGTCACTTACTGCCCTTTATAAAGTCACTTACTGCCCTTTATAAATTCACTTACTGCTCTTTATAAAGTCACTTACTGCCCTTTATAAAGTCACCTTACTGCCCTTTATAAAGTCACTTACTGCCCTTTATAAAGACACTTACTGCCCTTTATAAAGTCACTTACTGCCCTTTATAAAGTCACTTACTGACCTTTATAAAGTCACCTTACTGACCTTTATAAAGTCACTTACTGCCCTTTATAAAGTCACTTACTGCCCTTTATAAAGTCACTTACTGCCCTTTATAAAGTCACTTACTGCCCTTTATAAAGTCACTTACTGACCTTTATAAAGTCACCTTACTGACCTTTATAAAGTCACTTACTGCCCTTTATAAAGTCACTTACTGCCCTTTATAAAGTCACGTTACTGCCCTGTATAAAGTCACTTACTGCCCTTTATAAAATATTTTACTGCCCTTTATAAAGTCACTTACTGCCCTTTATAAAGTCACTGCCCTTTATAAAGTCACTGCCCTTTATAAAGTCACTTTACTGCCCTTTATAAAGTCAATTACTGCCCTTTATAAAGTAACTTTACTGCCCTTTATAAAGTCATTTACTGCCCTTTATAAAGTCACTTTACTGCCCTTTATAAAGTCACTTACTGCCCTTTATAAAATATTTTACTGCCCTTTATAAAGTCACTTACTGCCCTTTATAAAGTCACTGCCCTTTATAAAGTCACTTTACTGCCCTTTATAAAGTCACTTACTGCCCTTTATAAAGTCACTGCCCTTTATAAAGTCACTTTACTGCCCTTTATAAAGTCAATTACTGCCCTTTATAAAGTAACTTTACTGCCCTTTATAAAGTCACTTACTGCCCTTTATAAAGTCACTTTACTGCCCTTTATAAAGTCACTTACTGCCCTTTATAAAATATTTTACTGCCCTTCATAAAGTCACTTACTGCCCTTTATAAAGTCACTTTACTGCCCTTTATAAAGTCACTTACTGCCGTTTATAAAGTCACTTACTGCCCTTTATAAAGTCACCTTACTGCCCTTTATAAAGTCACCTTACTGCCCTTTATAAAGTCACCTTACTACCCTTTATCCCACACTAAGGCTCTGACGAGCGACAAATACAGCGTTTGTGTGTCTGTGTGTGTTTGTGTGTGTGTGCATGTGTGTGTTTGTTTGTGTGTGCGTGCATGTGTGTGTCTTTGTGTGCGTGCGTGTGTGTGTGTGTTTGTGTGCGTGTGTATGTGTGTGTGCGTGTGTGTTTGTGTGTGTGTGTGCGTGTGTTTGTGTGTGTATGTGTGTGTTTGTGTGCATGTGTGTTTGTGTGTGTATGTGTGTGTTTGTGTGTGTATGTGTGTGTTTGTGTGCGTGTGTATGTGTGTGTGTGACCTTTGAGCTGAGGCAGTGGGCGTCTTTGTGGAAGAGGAAAATGTCAACATCTGTTTCCAGAGCTGAACACAATATACAAACACAAACACACTTACACACACACGCACAAACACGCACACACACCCCACACACACAAACACACACGCATAATTTGACCTGGTTCAGCTGTGACCTGAATAACAGACAGATCAGGTTAGAGAGAAAGACTCCATGACGTGTGTGTGTGTGTGTGTGTGTGTGTGTCTGTGTGTGTGTGTGTGTCTGTGTGTGTATCTGTGTGTGTGTGTGTGTCTGTGTGTCTGTGTGTGTGTTTGTGTCCCCCCCCCCCCCCTTCCCGCCTGGAGCTGCTTCAGTCCTGCACCTGTCCACGTTCTACAGTCTGAGTCCTGGATCTACAGCCCGTCCATCCATGTGGACCGGATCCCTCTCTACTGTGGTCTCTCCCAATGGACCGATACCATGTGGTCTCTCCCAATGGACCGATACCATGTGGTCTCTCCCAATGGACCGATACCATGTGGTCTCTCCCTATGGACCAATACCATGTGGTTTCTCCCTATGGACCAATACCATGTGGTCTCTCCCTATGGTCCAATACCATGTGGTTTCTCCCTATGGACCAATACCATGTGGTCTCTATGGTCCAATACCATGTGGTCTCTCCCTATGGACCAATACCATGTGGTTTCTCCCTATGGACTAATACCATGTGGTCTCTATGGTCCAATACCATGTGGTCTATATCTTTTGGGTCAAAACTGTTGACTCTCTGATTGATGTCGGTGATTTCAAGGGTTTACAAGAATAAATTGAATTGAATTGTCTGATTCCCTCAGAAAGAGTGGGTCCTATATGGTACAATCGGTATGTGTGTGACCAGAGAGAGACACCAGAGAGATAGACACCAGAGAGAGACGAGTGACACTTGTTTAAATGTTTGAACAAATGTATTCAGTAGAACATATTTAATTTAAAAGCACAGATTGTAAAACACTTTCTCAGCGACACAAAACACATTCTATACCAGTCGCAGTATTTAGCACGTTTTCCTGGTCCATCACACACATGGTACTCCGCAGCAGAGAGAGACCAGAGAGAGACCAGAGAGAGACCAGAGAGAGAGACCAGAGAGAGACCACAGAGAGAAACCAGAGAGAGAGAGACCAGAGAGAGACCAGAGAGAGGGACCAGAGAGAGACCACAGAGAGAAACCAGAGAGAGAGAGACCAGAGAGAGACCAGAGAGAGGGACCAGAGAGAGACCAGAGAGAGACCAGAGAGAGAGACCAGAGAGACCAGAGATCCACATAAGTGTCTCTTCTAAATAAATGTATCAATCTTGTTACACTTAAGGTAAACAGTGAGGGACCACTATGGTCTCAACAATACCATGTGAAGGATCCGTGGGACCAGAGGGATGTGCTATGACAGTGGAGCTAAAGCAAACAGTCTGTATTTAAACAGCGTTTCAGCTCGTGCCGCAGCCCTCCTCTTCAACAGTTCACGTTTCAGAGATCAGTCCTCATAAGTCTCCATCCCCCAGTCCTCATAAGTCTCCATCCCCCAGGCCTCATAAGTCTCCATCCCCCAGGCCTCATAAGTCTCCATCCCCCAGTCCTCATAAGTCTCCATCCCCCAGGCCTCATAAGTCTCCATCCCCCAGGCCTCATAAGTCTCCATCCCCCAGTCCTCATAAGTCTCCATCCCCCAGTCCTCATAAGTCTCCATCCCCCAGGCCTCATAAATCTCCATCCCCAGTCCTCAGAAGTCTCCATCCTCCAATCGTCAATATGGGTTTCCCTTCCCTTCCATTTTTTTTTTTTTTTTGTTATTGATGATTTTTGTCCTCTCCTCTCTTTGGTCTCTCTCTGGTCTTTCTGATCTCTCTTTCTGGTCTCTCTCTGGTCTCTCTCTTTGGTCTCTCTCTGGTGTCTCTCTGGTCTCTCTCTTTGGTCTCTCTCTGGTCTCTCTCTCTGGTCTCTCTCTGGTCTCTCGCTGGTCTTTTTGGTCTCTCTTTCTGGTCTCTCTCTTTGGTCTCTCTCTGATGATAGAACTGCTCATTCTTCTTGGCCAATATCCCCCAGTTCATGTAAATTCCTGGACTGCCTTGAATGAGATTTCTGTTCTGTTTCCTGTGGAGTACAGAATAAAGTTTAAAATCCTTCTCTTAACATATAAAGCCATAAATGGCTTGGCTCCTTCTTATCTCCAAGACACGTTAGTGTCGTATCAACCAGGTCGAGCGTTGCGCTCACAAAACGCCAGACGTCTGGTGGTCCCTAAGGTCTCAAAAATCACTGTTGGCGGCAGAGCATTTAGCTCCAAGCTCCTTTACTGTGGAATCAGCTTCATTTATGTTAAGGAAGCAGATACGGTCTCCACATTCAAGGCCAGGCTTAAAGCACTCTACTTTAATTTAGCATATAATTAGGTAATATATAATATATGGTGTATATATTATATATATGCTGTATTATGTTATATATTATGTTATATATTATACAATATATGTATTATGTTATGTATTGTGTTATGTTGTATATTATGTTATATATCATACTGTATGTTATGTTATGTATTATATATGATATATATGGTATGTATGGTATATATGATGTATATGATATATAATATATAATTAGGTTTGCTTGGATCGGTTTGCACACCTGGTGTGCAATCCATGAATCTTGGTGCTGTAACCTAGACTAGCCTAGCCGTGGCTGTTGTCTCACCTCCTTTCAGATACGCTCTCTTTATTCAAGGCTAGGTTTAAAAAAGTCCTCTTTAGTTTAGCATATGGCTAGGAAGGTAAGACTCGGAGAAGGTTAAACTCCTCAGAGTGTTAGTCAAGCTGCATAGGGAGTCAGTTTGCTGGGAGAAGTATGGTAACTTGAGCACTATCCTCTCCTCCTTCCTACTTTATCTGTTTAGCACTTTTAGGATTCTGACTGTAGTTTGTTCATTGCTATTCACCCGTTGTCCCATTGTCTGTTTCATGGTACGATGACGGGATCTCTGAGCCTGGCCTCCTCCATCTACACCTGCGGACTGCCCCGCCCGACCCGCCTGGGAGTGCTTCGGTCCTGCACCGGACCTGTCCACGTTCAGCGTCCACTGGTCCACGTTCTGTAGCTAGCTTAGGTCCTGGATCATTAGCCTGTCCGTCCGGAGGAGCGGATCCCTTTCTCATATGGGTCTCCCTCCCTGTGGGTTTCCCTAGTTCTCCCCAAGGTTTCTCACTTTTTCCCACTGGGTTTTTTAAGAGTTTTTCCTTGTCGATGCAGGAGGGTCTTGTTGGACAGTTAGTGTCCAACAGAAAGGATTGGTGATGATCAGGACACTTTAGCATTCTACAACATGTATGGACATTTTCTTCTGTGTGTGCTTTATATTCTTCATGTGTTTTAACTGTTGATTCTCTGACCTGTGTTGGTGATTTCAATGGTTTTGTTAAGTCTCTGAGATGACTTCTGTTGTGACCTAGGGCTATACAAGAATAAATTGTATTGTATTGTATTGTATTGTTGTTTTTTTGTTACATCCTCTCTGAATCACGGTCTTTGATTAATCCTTCTGTAATATGTGTTCTGTAACCTGTAACCTGTAACCTGTATTCTGTAACCTGTAACCAGTAATCTGTAATCTGTAACCTGTAACCTGTAATCTGTAATCTGTAATCTGTAACATGTAATCTGTAACCTGTAACCTGTAATCTTTAATCTTTAATCTTTAATCTTTAATCTGTAACCAGTAATCTGTAACCTGTAATTTGTAATCTGTAACCTGTAATCTGTAACCTGTAATCTGTAACCTGTAATCTGTAACCTGTAATCTGTAACATGTAATCTTTAATCTGTAACCTGTAAAGTAAGATAAGAATTCCTTTATTCGTCCCAGAGTGGGGAAATCTCAAACCTGTAACCTGTAATCTGTAACCTGTAATCTTTATTCTGTAATCTGTAACCTGTAACCTGTAACTTGTAATCTGTAACCTGTAACCTGTAACCTGTAACCTGTAATCTTTAACCTGTAAACTGTAATCTGTAACCTGTAACCTGTAATCTTTAATCTTTAATCTGTAACCTGTAACCTGTAACCTGTAATTTGTAATCTGTAATCTGTAATCTGTAACCTGTAATCTGTAACCTGTAACTTGTAATCTGTAACCTGTAATCTGTAACCTGTAACCGGTAATCTGTTACCTGTAACCTGTAATCTTTAATCTTTAATCTGTAACCTGTAACCTGTAACATGTAATTTGTAATCTGTAACCTGTAACCAGTAATCTGTAATCTGTAATCTGTAACCTGTAATCTATAACCTGTAATCTGTAACCGATAATCTGTAACCTGTAACCTGTAACCTGTAACCTGTAATCTGTAACCGGTAATCTGTAACCTGCAATATGTAATCTGTAACCTGTAATCTGTAACTTGTAACCTGTAATCTGTAACCGGTAATCTGTAACCTGTAACCTGTAACCTGTAACCAGTAATCTGTAACCTGTAACCTGTGATCTGTAACTTGTAATCTGTAACCTGTAACCGGTAACCAGTAATCTGTAACCTGTAATCTGTAATCTGTAACCTGTAACCTGTAATATGTAATCTGTAATCTGTAACCAGTAATCTGTAACCTGTAATCTGTAATATGTAATCTGTAACCTGTAATCTGTAACCTGTAATCTGTAATCTAATATGAGACTCACAGAAGAATTCCCAGATTTTAAAAACACAAAACATTTACAAAAGAAACATTAATATTTAAACGTTCAGAAAAATAAAAAATAATTAAAACCAATAATATTAATTTAAAATCACAATATAACATAAATATTTATGAATAAAATGTGAAGTAAAACACTCTTAAGTCTGTTTTGTTCAAGTGGGTTTCAGTAAAAACAATGTATCTATTATTAAAATATCAAACATTACTGTTAATAATATTAAATTAATATTATTGCATTGGACCGTAATCTGAGTGAAAAGGACTGAAGCAGATGGAGACCAACCAGTGGTCCTGTCCTGGTCTCTTCAGTCCTGGTCCAGTCCTGGTCCAGTCCTGGTCTCTTCAGTCCTGTCTCTCAGCTGCAGTGGAAGCTTCTGTCTCGGACTCTGCTCCTGAAACATAAAACCAGGATCAGGACTAAAGCCTCAGACTGAGGAAGAGAAGGAGACTTGAGGAAGAGGAGGAGACTTGAGGAAGAGGAGGAGACTTGGACTACAGACTGAGGAAGAGGAGGAGACTTGGACTACAGACTGAGGAAGAGGAGGAGACTTGGACTACAGACTGAGGAAGAGGAGGAGACTTGGACTACAGACTGAGGAAGAGTGTGGGATGTTGTAATCTCTGACTCACACCTTCGTCGCATCTCGTCTCAACTGTCGGGGGCGGGGCGTTGTCTGGCGGCCATCTTAGCTCGCCGCTCTCCACGGTGGCGGTCTCGCTGGGCTCCACCACGATGGACGGAAGACGCTCGGAGAGTTTGGGAAACCGGGACTCTGGAAACATCTGGAAACGAAGTCAAGGAAGTCCTGGGTCTACAGTCTCGGTCCTGGGTCTACAGCCTCAGTCCTGGGTCTACAGCCTCAGTCCTGGGTCTACAGCCTCAGTCCTGGGTCTACAGCCTCAGTCCTAGGTCTACAGCCTCAGTCCTGGGTCTACAGCCTCGGTCCTGGGTCTACAGCCTCAGTCCTGGGTCTACAGCCTCAGTCCTGGGTCTACAGCCTCAGTCCTAGGTCTACAGCCTCAGTCCTGGGTCTACAGCCTCAGTCCTAGGTCTACAGCCTCAGTCCTGGGTCTACAGCCTCGGTCCTGGGTCTACAGCCTCAGTCCTGGGTCTACAGCCTCAGTCCTAGGTCTACAGTCTCAGACACAGAAGGATACGATCTGCTCGTCTGCCCCTGAGTCCAGAGACTTCAGCGCTTCAGTCATCCTGAACACAATAAATAATAATAATAATAATAATAAAAATAATAATAATCATGATAATAATCATGATAATAATAATAATAATAATAATAATAATGATAATAATAATAATAATAATAATCATGACAATAATAATAATAATAATAATAATAATAATAGTAAGTAAGTAGTAAGTAAGCTTTATTTATATACCGCCTTTCACAGACCAGAGTCACAAAGCGGTTTACAATTGTTATTTTTTGGGCACTTGTCCTCTCACTCCACACAGAGATGGGAGCGGGGTCGCCGAACAGGAGGCGCATGCCAGACCTATTGTACATATTTTTAGTGGTAGGGGAAACCGGAGTACCCGGAGGAAACCTACGCAGACACAGGGAGAACATGCAAACTCCACTCAGAAAGGCCCTGGTCCGGCCGGGATTCGAACCCAGGACCTTCTTGCTGAGAGGCGAGAGTGCTATCCACTCAGCCACCGTGCCGCCCTAATAAACACGATAATACTACTAATAATAATAATGATAATAATAATGATAATAATAAACATAATAATAATAATGATAATAATAATGTGTCATCATGAGTGTTAAGCATATTTGGTTAATAAGCAAAGCCATGTTAAATAGTGTACGTGGGGATGTCATGTGCCTGCGTGCACTAGTTAGTTATTTGTTTGTTATTGTGCGATAAAATATGGTGCCGTGAGTCCGAGCACCAGAGTGATGACGGCGTCTTGTTGTCTCCTGTGAATAGAAAGTGAAAACTGACCACATCGGAGACTGGTAAACATTAGACTGCTGCAGAAATGGCAAACGCTACAATGTGTAATACATGTTTAAAGCTGGTCCCTCTCTGCTCTCTGGTCTCTCTCTCTGGTCTCTCTCTCTGGTCTCTCTCTGGTCTCTCTCTCTGGTCTCTCTCTCTGGTCTCTCTCTGGTCTCTCTCTCTGGTCTCTCTCTCTGGTCTCTCTCTCTGGTCTCTCTCTGGTCTCTCTCTCTGGTCTCTCTCTCTGGTCTCTCTCTCTGGTCTCTCTCTGGTTGCTCTCTCTGGTCTCTCTCTCTGGTCTCTCTCTCTGGTCTCTCTCTCTGGTCTCTCTCTGGTTGCTCTCTCTGGTCTCTCTCTGGTCTCTCTCTCTGGTCTCTCTCTCTGGTCTCTCTCTGGTCTCTCTCTGGTCGCTCTCTCTGGTCTCTCTCTGGTCTCTCTCTCTGGTCGCTCTCTCTGGTCTCTCTCTCTGGTCTCTCTCTCTGGTCTCTCTCTCTGGTCTCTCTCTCTGGTCTCTCTCTCTGGTCTCTCTCTCTGGTCTCTCTCTGGTCGCTCTCTCTGGTCTCTCTCTGGTCTCTCTCTCTGGTCGCTCTCTCTGGTCTCTCTCTGGTCTCTCTCTCTGGTCTCTCTCTGGTCTCTCTCTGGTCTCTCTCTCTGGTCTCTCTCTGGTCTCTCTCTGGTCGCTCTCTCTCTGGTCTCTCTCTGGTCTCTCTCTCTGGTCTCTCTCTGGTCTCTCTCTGGTCTCTCTCTCTGGTCTCTCTCTCTCTGGTCTCTCTCTCTGGTTTCTCTCTCTGGTCTCTCTCTCTGATCTCTCTCTCTGGTCTCTCTCTGGTCTCTCTCTCTGGTCGCTCTCTCTAGTCTCTCTCTCTGGTTTCTCTCTCTGGTCTCTCTCTCTGATCTCTCTCTCTGGTCTCTCTCTGGTCTCTCTCTCTGGTCTCTCTCTGGTCTCTCTCTGGTCTCTCTCTGGTCTCTCTCTGGTCGCTCTCTCTGGTCTCTCTCTGGTCTCTCTCTCTGGTCTCTCTCTCTCTCTCTCTGGTCTCTCTCTGGTCTCCCTCTCTGGTCTCTCTCTCTGGTCTCTCTCTCTGGTCTCTCTCTCTGGTCTCTCTCTGGTCTCTCTCTCTGGTCTCTCTCTCTGGTCTCTCTCTCTGGTCTCTCTCTCTGGTCGCTCTCTCTGGTCTCTCTCTCTGGTCTCTCTCTCTGGTCTCTCTCTCTGATCTCTCTCTCTGGTCTCTCTCTGGTCTCTCTCTCTGGTCTCTCTCTGGTCTCTCTCTGGTCTCTCTCTCTGGTCTCTGGTCTCTCTCTCTGGTCGCTCTCTGGTCTCTCTCTCTGGTCTCTGGTCTCTCTCTCTGGTCTCTTTCTCTGGTCTCTCCCTCTGGTCTCTCTCTCTGGTCTCCTCTGATCTCCTCTGGTCTCTCTCTCTGGTCTCCCTCTGGTCTCCCTCTGGTCTCTCTCTCTGGTCTCCCTCTGGTCTCCCTCTGGTCTCTCTATCTGGTCTCCCTCTGGTCTCCTCTGGTCTCCCTCTGGTCTCCCTCTGGTCTCCTCTGGTCTCCCCTTGTCTCCTCTGGTCTCCTCTAGTCTCCCTCTGGTCTCCCTCTGGTCTCCTCTGGTCTCCTCTGGTCTCCTCTGGTCTCCTCTGGTCTCCCTCTGGTCTCCCTCTGGTCTCCCTCTGGTCTCCCTCTGGTCTCCTCTGGTCTCCTCTGGTCTCCTCTGGTCTCCCTCTGGTCTCCTCTGGTCTCCTCTGGTCTCCTTCTGGTCTCTTCAGTCCACTCTAACAGCCTCATTAATGCAGATGTATTCAGACCATTGTTGGTCCAGGTTTCTGTTTCCAAGAGACAAGTGTGAAAACCTGCACGAGTCTGCAGAGTGCTAACCCGCTAGCTCCACGCTAACCCACTCAGTGAAGCCCAACAGGAAAGTGCTCATGGTGAAGTTTGGCTCCTATCGACTTCCATGTCAAAGTAAACTCCTCAGTAACTTTGATGTGACATCACATTTTGGTTTCTTTTTGATCCTGTCTCTTTGTACATCCACATTTGACCAAATAAGGACTGACCAATCAGAGGCCTTCATTCAGCAGGAAATGAGAGAGAACTGAGAGAGACCAGAGAGAGAGATCAGAGGGACCAGAGAGAGACCTGAGAGAGACCAGAGAGAGAGATCAGAGGGACCAGAGAGAGACCTGAGAGAGACCAGAGAGAGAGATCAGAGGGACCAGAGAGAGACCTGAGAGAGACCTGAGAGAGACCAGAGAGAGAGACCAGAGGGACCAGAGAGAGAGATCAGAGGGACCAGAGAGAGACCAGAGAGAGACCTGAGAGAGACCAGAGAGAGACCAGAGAGAGAGATCAGAGGGACCAGAGAGAGACCTGAGAGAGACCAGAGAGAGAGATCAGAGGGACCAGAGAGAGAGATCAGAGGGACCAGAGAGAGACCAGAGAGAGACCTGAGAGAAAGAGACCAGAGAGAGATCAGAAAGAGAGACCAGAGCGAGCCCCCTGCTGGCTGAAGTCTCTGTGACGTCTCTGCAGACACTCAACACTGAGACACAAGTCTTTCCTTTCTCTGCATTTTTAATCTTAACCTGATGTCTCTCTTTTCACCTTTTATTCCATTCTCTGTGGTCAGACCAGAGGGAGACCAGAGGGAGACCAGAGGGAGACCAGAGACAGACCAGAGAGAGACCAGAGAGAGACCAGCGAGAGACCAGCGAGAGAGACCAGAGAGAGAGACCAGAGAGAGAGACCAGAGAGAGACCAGAAAGAGACCAAAGAGAGAGACCAGAGAGAGACCAAAGAGAGAGACCAGAGAGAGACCAAAGAGAGACCAGAGAGAGACCAGAGAGAGACCAGAGAGAGAGACCAGAGAGAGAGACCAAAGAGAGAGACCAGAGAGAGACCAAAGAGAGACCAGAGAGAGACCGGAGAGAGAGACCAGAGAGAGACCAGAGAGAGACCAGAGTGAGAGAAACCAGAGTGAGACCAGAGAGAAAGACCAGAGAGAGACCAGAGAGAGACCAGAGAGAGAGAGACCAGAGTGAGACCAGAGAGAGAAACCAGAGAGAGACCAGAGACAGAGAGAGACCAGAGTGAGACCAGAGAGAGAAACCAGAGAGAGAGACCAGAGGGAGACCAGAGAGAGAGACCAGAGAGAGAGACCAGAGAGAGACCAAAGAGAGAGATCAGAAAGTGACCAGAGAGAGACTAGAAGGATACCAGAGAGAGAGACCTGAGAGAGAGACCTGAGAGAGAGACCAGAGGGAGACCAGAGGGTGAGACAGTGCAGTGATGTGGAGCTCGTACCTGATCGACGCTCAGAGGAGAAGTGTTCTCTCGGTGTCACTCAGCTGTTGCAGGAGGCGGGCTCTGTCGCCATGGTAACGGTCACCTCGAGGCGGGACCAGAAGGAGAGTCACACACACCAGGGGGAGAAGGCTTTGCAAGGTTCACATCCTGTCACAGCCTGGCCCTGCTCGGCTCCTCACGGCCCCTTTGAGAACAGAGCCTTAAATATAATAATATCACACAATGTAAAGTGAACAAACCTCTGCTGAAAAACTTTTCAAAATATTTTTCGATTTCAAATCCATAAAAAGCTTATTCATAAACTGTGCTGCCACCTGCTGGACAATTATATATTTGACACGTTTCAATCAGGATTCAGAGCTCCATACACAGCACTAGTCACATGGCACTTTACTCTGTGTTTTCATTGTGGCACTTTACTCTGTGTTTTCATTGTGGCACTTTACTCTGTGTTTTCATTGTAGCACTTTACTCTCTGTGTTTTCATTGTAGCACTTTACTCTGTGTTTTCATTGTAGC